TCGAAGTTTTATGTGTAGAAGCAAATTCTCCAAATTTATGACCAACCATATCTTCAGTAACCTGTAAGCCAACAAAATATTTTCCATTATAAACTTGTGCATAGTAACCGACAAATTTAGGCAAAATACAAGATCTACGTGACCAAATTTTCCAACTCTGGCGAGCCACACGGGAATGAAAAAAAAAATCAACTTGCAGTTTTATTATATATAAAATCAATGACGCCGGGAATTCCTCAACATCTCAGACCGGAGAATGCTGGGGCCATTACCCAGATTTGGCTTGAGCTGGAAATCGGGTCCCAGTGTCCCCATGTCTGCAACCTGCCTTAAAGAAAGAGAGAGAGAGAGTTTTTGAGCCTAACTGTCCTGGTGGCACAAGGCTGGAAGTGGTAGCAACACGAGGAGAATGCCTTGCGGAGGGGGAGGAGGAGGAGGAGGAGGAGGAGAGGGTGGAGAAAGGGAAGGGAGGAAAGAGTAGACACGGTAAGTAGCAGCAGAAGAGAGCACAAGTCAGCAGTAGCATGTCAGCGGTGACACAGGCCACATCAGCAGCCAGAGCCGCGGAGGCCCGCCGCTTGGTGGAAGAGCAGACGAAAGTCAATGCAGCAGCAGCACACAAGGCTGCACAGATGAGTTTGTCGGCATCTGTGGCACCAAACAAGGGACAGCACAAGCAACCATAGTCACCATACATTGTGGTGGCCGCAAGTTCGCCGGCCACCGATTTTGAGGAACACGCTGCTACCTAGGACAAGGGAGACACAGTAGCAGCACCCCGGAGAGGTGGTTCTACGTCCAAGCCAAAGACAAGGGAAAAACAAAGGCGTTCACCTTCTCATTTTCAGGGACCACACAACCGACTCAGGAGCCTTGGACCTGTTATGATATCTTCAAGGCGATGTACAGAGCGCGGATAAATACAAGTATCGCTGCTGGATTCGGCTGCCATGCTAGCAGCCTCCCTTCATTCCGATGCACATGTGGGATTCGCGGGTCCTCTCCTTTCTTCTTTTGAGGACCTTGCTGCCCAGCTAGTTCCGCCGCTGGGCCACCTTGTTCAAGGACGAGTACCTGTCATTTGTGCGGTTTCCTCTCCATCCGTTTGCAGTTCGACTTCAACGTCTTCGACTCCTTCCAAGGATTTGGTGCTTTAGTCCGATTTGGACGAGTCGGACCCGTTGACGCCCGAAGACTTCACCTGGTTGCCTCTCCCCACTACGAGCTCCTTCTCGGGACCACATCGCGCAGCACAGTGCGCCTATTTACATGAGTACTTGTCCTTCTATGCACCACCAATGTTACCCATGGATGGCGGAGTCGCCGTGGCTGATCTTCTTATTACTTAGTGAATGTAGGACACAGGTTTCACACAGTGGTACAACAACATTGCACTGCCCCTTGATGTCCGCGTCCACATACGGCAAGTGTCCTGCAGCGGTTTGCTGGATAGTGGCACAACTCACAACATTCTTAACCATTTGTTCGTTCAACGTGCTGGCCTTGGCACACAAGTTCGGAGGCCAAGGATGCCTTAGCTTGCGAACGCAAATCATACGGTCAACTTCCATTGGCGGAAGGTTACCGTTCGTGACACTTTCGGCCCCGAAGTCCTGTGTACCAGTCCTCCGTGCACTTCGACCCCGTGCCCAATTGGCCACAATTTTCTGGGCCGCTTTGTGCTTGCGAGCGGACCGAGAAAATCGGCCTTTGTTTCTTCCACTTCGTCACACCGACCTGCTCTTCACCCATGGATCCGTTCTCCGATCCTCGCATGCCTCGGTTATTTGATGAGTTTGGGGATGTTCTCATTTCACATCATCACGGTGGCCGACTCTTCACCTATGGATGTGTTCTCGGATCCACGCATGACTTCGTCACTCGGCGAGTTTGGAGGTGTTCTCGTTTCACTTCGTCCCCTACTGACTCTTCACCTACGGATTCGTTTTCAGATCCTCACGGCCTTGGGAGGATGTTTTTGGCCTCCTCCCCACCCGCGCGATGCATTTACAGTTTCACCCTCACCATGGCTCAGCTTCTCAAGGAGGGGGGGTATAGCATCCTAGGGGCTCCTACACGGGCCCTTCAGCTCCGGCATTTTCCTTCTCGGCCCCCAGGCCGCACAGCCCTTTTGGCTGCGCGACTTGGTGGGCCAGCGCCACGTTGTAGGCCTACGTCGTCCCATTTGCTGTTCTTTTATTCAGTATTTAATATTTATTTATTTATGTTTGCTGAATGCGTTTGGGGCTGAGCTTTGTCTGGACTATTTTTGTCTGTTCCAGATGTGTCGTTTCAGACTTTCTTTTGTCCGAACAGGTAGATGCCTGTTCGGACCAGTGGATTTCAGATTCGGCCGTAGCAGGCCAGGTTCAGATTTGTGCGCATCTGGGACTGGATCAGGCATTCTTCTGGTTGTGCCTGGCCCAGTCCGCAGGACCCTGCTGCATCAGCAGGGTTGCCTGGACATCCGGTAGGGACCCAGGCAGGCTGTTCTAGGCCAGGATCATAGGACCAGGACTTGGGCCTGTGATTGGACACTAGATTCGATGGTCTTGATTGCAGAACGAGGTCTGCTCAGCCAGGCCCAGCGGTATATAGCTGGGCCAGTCCTCCAGTTCGAGGACATTCTGGCTGGAGCACCAGTTGGCCGTCACGCGGCTGGAGCAACGCCAGGCTGGACGAGCTACGGTATAGTGGCAGCGTTAGAGTAGGGGAGTAGGCTGGAGTGGAGAGGTTGGCAGAGGCCATAGCCACGTGGGAGAGAGAGACTCACCTCGGCACCATAGCTGGGACTCCATACCGGTCTGGGACCGGCCTTCAGCAGCGACCTGCATCAGGAGTCGTCACCTTCGCTGGTCAGTAGTCATGGCATAATCATCAGGAGAGTGTGAGAGAGGAGAGTTCTTCTCCATCTTCTCCTTCTTCTTCTACGTTTCCTTCTCCTGATTCTTCTCCAGCCCCTCATAGCCATTGCTCTTCTTTCTTCTTCTCCTCCCTCCTTTTCTTCTCTTTCTTCTTCTTCTTCAGAGAGAGAGAGAGAGAGAGGGAGAGAGAAAGATCTCAGGCAGTAACTATTTCAGGCCGAACATTTGATGGGGGAGATAATTTCTGGACTATTTCGAGCTATTCTCTTGTCTTCTCCCCCTTCTCTCTCTTCCTCTTCTTCTCCCCACCTCCATCACCCATGGTCTTCTCCCCATTGTGTGTGCAAGGTGTCTTTCTTCCATGTATGCCTCCCTCCTTGCTGATCTGACATCTGTGATGATGCCTGTGCGAGTCGAGTCTGAGTCCGCCGAGTCAGGTCATATCTTTGCTTCTTCCCGCTGGGCCGCATTGCACTATATCGCTCCTTTTCTGATGCACATTGCTTATTTGTCGATCATTCATCTTTAGATGAGCATGCATCACCACCCCAAGGATAGGGAGTCTGGAATTCACCTGCATTTATGGACTAAAAAGAGTCCATCTCCTGGGCCAGCGGCCTAGCTCGGTTCATAGAGCACGGAAGCTGCATTCAGGAGGTCGTGGGTTTGGTTCCCCGCATCATCCTTTCGAATCCCCACGGCCTCCTGCGGCACGCTGCGGGTTCACCAGCTGAGATAGTCCGCTTGCCACCCCTGGTCGATTGGTACGGGGTCTGGTCCCTTCCATTCGTTGCCAGGGGTTAGGTTCAACCCAGAGGGGGCAGACTCAATCCTCAGGGGATTGGCACAACCCATAACCCTTAGTGTAGCTTAAGCTCTAACCGGTATGTTAAAGATAGGCTTCAAAGTTAAAAGTTAAAACTTAAAACCCATAACTCGCAGTGGGCTGCACTTCCAATGCATAGATAGGATCAATGGGGTAAATAACATGAGGTGAGTAGGTAGCAAGTGCGAGGTGAAAAATATTGAGAGAATAACACAGTGAATACAGATGTCCCCCATATGAAGACGACAGCTG